CCCAAAGACCCTGCATGGCATGGAAATCTCCTCCTCCTGGAACAATTCTACACCCAGCATATGCTCCCTGTGTTGGCCAGTAGAGAGGAGGACATTTAAATAAACATACTCTTAACACCCTCGGACTCTGCGTTGTGTTTCGTATGTGTGATGGGGTGTTATGCAGAGGGGAGGAAAACAGGACACAGCAGATTGGGATTGTGGTGTAGATGCTGAGCAGTTATTTAATTGTTGCATGTAATTATTATTATACTGCGTGCTTCCTAGTTATTCCATCTTTTGCTGTAACATGGATCTGTATGTAACTCTATATTTACTTGTTATCTACCACACTTCCTTCTACATCATACACCATCATTATACATGATGGTGTATATAGGATATATATATTTGTATACATATCTGTAAATTGTATAATTTTATTTAAACGTCTTTTTGATCTCTCAAACTGAGTAAGATTGACAATGAAGTTGACTTTGAAAAATATATATATTCTTTATGAAAATAGTTGACTGTTGTCAAATGAATCCAAATGAATCCAAATGAAACGTTGGACTGAACTACAACTACGCCTTTAAATCTCTACGGACTGTTTTTCAGTGGGATGGCAAGTTCCTATCTTTAAACATTTATTAGTTTTTTCTCAGAACAGATTTGATTTTCTGAAGTTAATTTAACTTTGCCGACCATGTAAGGTCATCATTAAAAGGTACAATCAATTTGTTTAGGGTTGACTAAAATAATGAAAAACATTCATTTGGATAATTTACTGACAGAATAATAAACTCAATGATGCTCTACTCACCTGTTCCCTTTTTATAAAGTGAAACAGTTGAAACGATAGATTTTAGTAAACTTAAAAACAACCTTCTCCAAAAGCTATCAAGGAATATACCGAATACTTGTTTTAGAACTTTATTACATATTTTTATATAAATAGTTTGAATGATCCATAATTGACAGAAGCTTGTGTTTACACTGACCTGTTACTCATATATTAATGTCTTTGTAACTTCAGTAAACCACTACCTCACTAATTTCTTTCATTCATCACGGTTCAGTAAACTAAGTGATACATGAACCAGTTTAATCATTATAATAACGTAGGATTGCAACTCTTTGAAAATGTATGTGGCTCTTAAAAGAGCTGTTGTGTTTGGGTGTGCTGGTCTCAGGTCAGTCTAAGCCCTCTCTCCGCGGATGCGGCGGGCCAGCTGGATGTCCTTGGGCATGATGGGGACCCTCTTTGCTTGGTTCATCTTACTGGGGGGCAGCTACATGGATGTCGGTGCAGTCCACAATCATTGCGCAGTTGAAGGCAGAATGAATTTATTATTGACTCCGAATGAAGCACAACTTCATGTCATACAATACAATGACTTTATTTGTAATTGTGTAAAAAAATATGAGCATTGATTAGCAAGCAGGACCTGCAGGAACAGAGAATGGTGATGGAGCTGGGAAGAGAGAAGAATAAAGAAAACAGATCAACTTTATTATCGGATATTAAAAATTCAATTTCAAAACAAGTTGCCGCTCCTACAGTTTTCTAGTATGTAAAGATGATTTCACATGACCTATGCAAAATATCACACTCAATACATGTGTGTCTCTGGGGGGTGCATTGTGCCTTTGATGTATATAAATAATATACCATAACCAAATACTATTACGTACAGTGGAAATCAGGTTGCCAGAGCAGGTCAGTCCAGTGTGCATGTTCCTCAACGTCTCAGCAGTTACAGGTGAGGTAAAGAAAATAAAAGAGAAAAAGGTCAGTAACAACACTTTAAAGTAACAACACTTTGAATAATTATCTCTTCTAACAATTTTCTCTCAATAAGCACACAACGACTGTCTTTCCAACAAACAGATTGTCATCACAATGAAACACGTCCAGAAGAATGTCATGCAAAGCTCCATGCCTGCCTTCGACTCTCCCTGAACTGCTTCCTTAGCACCCGGTGGAGGGCGCAGTAGGCTACTCTTCAAAAGTTTCACGAAATACTTACCATCATGTTTGGTTACTGTTTAACATTTTGGTTTACTTCATGTAATAAAATAATAACTTCATGGTAAGGCTACTAAAAATGACAAGGCTAAGTAATGTAATGCTAACTAACGTGCTCGCTACTCGTCGCTACTAGCTAGGTAGCTAACTTGACTATGTTCCATGCACAACATGTATATTACCTATGATATTACCTGATATGTCTGATCCAGCGACTCCTGGTCCTTTCATCAGACGGGAATCGATAGAAGGAGCAAGTGGTATGTTCACTTTTATGACTACAACCTGGTACAAAGCACACAGGTATCTTGTAAAAGTGAATTTATTTTTAGCGATCTATAATTTATTGGAGGGAATAAATCAGTTATGAGATCTTCTTCTTCTTCGCTTTAATTACGAGTCTTATTATAAATCACCGAGCATGCCTGTGACATCACTTACGCGACCCAGAATGGGATTTGGGATTTGTAGTCTTTGTAGTAGCGTATTTTTCATAGTCTTATATTTCAGCAGTTTTACGACAAAATGTGACTTTTTTGACATGGAAATGATTGTTTAAGATTGACAAACATCATATGTGTAGTTCGTGGCACAATTCAAACGGGATCAAAAGATACGTGTTCTCTCTCCATTGAATTCAATGTAAATTTTTCGCTTCCGGGGTCCCATGGTCCGGAAGTAGATGGGCGTGACTTCGCCTCTCCATTTGGAGCAGGCGGAAGTTGAACTCTGACGTCACTGTCGAGCCGTTAGTGGCCGACTCCGCCTACTAAGGGCTTCTCGGCAACTCTACAGAATCCTATGGGTGACGTCACGGACCCTACGTCCATTTATATATACAGTCTATGGTTTCTCCAAAATTACATACCCCACCTTTAATATAAGTAGGCTACTGCAATTTACCTTGTGAATCCATTTCTGTCTCTGGTCATCGACGGGCAAATAAGAGTCAGAACTGGATGAAACTACTGTTTAAATACTCTGTGTTTATTATAATAAATGTATTAATAAATCGAGCATAAACAGCCAATGAAACACAATAAACATATTTTCCCAAACTGAACACTAACAGCCAATCAAAAAAGCCTATTCAAAATACCAACGTTTCAAGCCACTGATGAACTCAAACCTTACAGTCTATAATTCATACAAAAATAAACTAATGTTGATAATTATTTTCATCAAAGCAAGTATTGAAATCAAAATGCAACAATTTCTTGCGTTTTCATGTAGGAGGAGTTATTACGGAGTTCTATTAACTTTTTGGCGAAAAAGTGTATTTTACAAGATGCTTTTGAATGCATCTTAATGTTACCTCCCTTTAACGTTAGCCCCGTCGTTCATTTCTCTCATTGCATGAACAAGGTAAGGAGTTTAGCATGGCAACCTCCACTGGCGCTGAGTTCTCTATCATTAATTTAATAATGTGTAGAGTTTATTTTGGCGCTATTGTCATGTTTAAAGCATTATCAAAGCTTAGTATTATACTACTGCCGTATTGTTTATGCATTTTAACTTCTATCATAATGTGCAGGCCCTGACCCACAGCTTAGCGCTGCGTTGATTTGAAGCATCAGTGCTAGCCCTGAGATTTGAATGGGAGTTGATGAAAACGGCTCCTAGCTAAACCTAAAACTGACCCAGAGGCGCGGGAAGATATTTTGAGTGGGGGTGCTGAGGTGCTGGACTCCAGTGAACACTATTACGCACAAAAGCGCGAGCACCATGGGCGCTACAGTGGAATGTTCTACTGCATCACTCGGACTCCCCACACGCAAACACACAGTACACCCGGGACTGTTACAATGAAGGCTCGGTAATCAGCTCACGGCATATAGGCAGGGGTAAAGTGCTATTTTTTACGAGTGGGGAGCGGACCTCACCTCCTCTTGGGGGGTCCGGGGGATTGCTCCCCCGGGAAGATTTTTTTTTAAATATTGAAGTTAAAAGCATCAATCTGGTGCACTTTGAGAGCAACATTAAGAGATCTATGGATACATCTCTCAACATCCATATGAAACACAACTGTAATCAGATGTTCTTTTTCTTTATGGATATTTTACAAATCACTCCCCTTTCAAACTATTCTTGTTTTACTGCCATATATAGTATTTCATAACTGTTTTTTCTTTATTCTCTTATTTTTTTTATAACGATAATGATCATATGAAGGTGTGCCGCGGAAATAATATTTTGAATAATTTGTGACCAAACCGTTTGAGACCCACTGAGATAACTTAGACTAAAGTTAACTATCTAAACCCTCAGATAGTCCTTTAGCTCACCTGAGCCTCTCAGTCTGAGAGGAGAGGACTCTCCTCCAGATTGTTGTGGAACAAACAGCTCCTTATGTCCGTTAGTGCAGCTAGCTAACCAGATGCTAACAACACGGCCCCTGCTGGCACCGGTCCCCCTCTCTCTCTCTCCCTCTCTCACACACACTAAATGGCTATTTCCACACACAAACACAGAGCCGAGCTTGAATGACACAAGCACACGTTTATTTCCATGCAACTCTCTGATTGGTCCGATGTCTTGCCTCTGTTGCATTCACTGAACACGGGAAATTACGGTCCTGCCGTCCTCTCTAGTGTCATGATGAGGTTCACGTAAAGCACAGTTAATGTATTATATTATTGAAGTAGAATTGTCCGGGGCTACAGAAAAAACATTTGGGGCAGGCCAAAATATTATTTTATCAACAATGTGGAATTTATTGGCTACATATTACACAGATTATGCACAGCGGGAGCAGCAATAACCGTCAAATAATAATTCAGACAGGATAGCTCCGCACCGCCTGCCGCTAGGGGGTGCTGCAGCGCCCGAAGCACCCCCTTTCCCGCGCCCATGACACTGAACTGTCAGCACTTTTATTTTGACGCACATGTTTAGAGTTCAGTACTCAGTGTGTGATCTGTATTGATTAAGTTGAAGTGTAAATGTATTGTGTACTTTATGTGTTATTAAATATATTATGTTTTTGCACAGAAAATGGATTCCCCAAGCAAGTTTCCAGGCTTAAATGATGATGAGGAGGTGGAGGCCCTTCGGAGAGAGGGACAATTGTTTATTGTAAGTATAACACTTCCATGTGAAATGACTGATGTAAATATTGTAATATGTTATTGTGACATGTCACTATTGTTTATAGGCCCACTTTAACCTATGTGCAAGTGGGACAGACTATATGTATATTTTTAAGCAGAGACCCTCAACCTGGGACAATTATTTAAGATAAAACATCTGTGTTATTGTACCTGGTAAAAGTGTTTTGCATTATTCCTTACAGCAATGAATTGATAAATACATTACTTAATTTATACCTGGGCCACGACAGGCTGCCAAATTGATACAATTCAAACCTTTTGCTCACATTTCCACAGGGTGTCCGCGGGGTCTTAAAAAGTATTAAAAGTTGATAAATCAATTTAGCGAAAATTAAGGCTATTAAAAAGTATTAAACAGCATTTTCCAAGGTATTAAGAAGGTCCACAGCAACGACAACATGAAACACCCTTTAATTTACTGAAACAACATGTCGGGAAACCCCCTCAAGGTGGCCCCATGCATAGCGTGCCATAAAATGCTGCTTCTGCTCCCCCTCTGTGTGTGGGGGGGGGGGTGTTTATCTGCTGGTGGACTACCTGAGAGATATACAGCAGGAGAACACGCCGTCCACCGCGGAGAATAAACAGAAGGGCAACCATGACAACCATGCTCCGGGGTCTTCTTCGCTGCTTTTGGTGTATTTTGTGGCGGCAGCAGCGCCACTTACAGGCCTGGCATATGTACTACAGCGTTTCCAGCGTTTCCAGCATTTCCAGCGGTCTAGTGTGAACGGACACGTTAATGAATCGAATGCGTGTGAACGGAAGACTTTTTTGCGTATGCGTTTTACTGTATGCGTCCTCGTGGGGCCGGGGTCTAAGCCAAACTATTTCCGGTCACAGAGATCTGCTATTTTAAAGTAAGGTCAACACATATCGACCCTAAATATAGTCTATATTAAGAACGAGAAAAGTGTTAACATATATATCGTTTTTTGTAAACATGACAAATGTGTGAGGGTGATGACGTCAGAGCATCGTCCTATGTGCCGGGCTTAGCCCCGGACAGCCCCAGCCCAATTTAACCCCTGGGTATTTGTGAGGGAGCTCCTATATGGCATTACCCCGCTGAAGCTCACCAAAGTTTAATATATTTCATAGTTCAAAGTTTTGTCAATTGTTTTGTTTATTGGTCAAATACTGGTTTCTAATGGTTTCTGAGGAGTTTTACTGGAATGAAAGAGCACAGAGTACAGAAGCAACAAAGCAGCATAAACCTGACCTTCAAAGAGAGGTTGAAGTTCATGTGGAGAGGAGGCTTCAGTAGTCTGTCTGCACTCTGTTTAGTTGTGCTATCTTACAATCAATATAGTAAATGTGAGGTAAAGTGTGTCGCCAATGTAACCGGTTAGAACTCGAAGTTGCGATGAGGTCTTAAAATGTATGGAAAGGGTCTTAAAAGGTATTAAATTTGACTTCAGGATTCCTGCATATACCCTGTTCCAGAACTTGAGTTTGAAGTGCTGTATCTGCAATAAATGCAGCATGTGCATTATCCCAAGATTCATTAAGCTAAATGCTTGTTCGTGTTGTTTTATGATTTAGATGTACATTTGTTGTTTTTCATTTGCAGTATTCAATCCTGGATGAAGCCCTGCCGCGCCGGGACCTCTACTCCTGCGGCGTCCGGGTCTTCTGGCGCTGCTTGGACTTCCTGGTGCGACAGGTGAGGCTGCGGCGTGTTTTCCAACAGAAGGCCGCCAGAGAAAAGGAGGTTAATAAAGTCCTCAATAGGAAGCTGGAGGAGGCCCTGCGGCTCATTGAGGTGCTGCAGGCCACGGGGTCCTTTGAACAGGATGGTAAGTATTTGTTGTTCAAGTCTCAAATGTTTGATTGTGATTATATTGTTATGTTCAACTATGTAGTGTCACATTGACTGTTGTTTTGGCTGGACTATCCCAATTGTCTTTTAGTCTTCAAAAATGAACATGTTATTTAATTAAAGCAGTCCTCAATATATGACTCCAAGGTATCTTATGTTAGAAGTACAGACAAATAATGAATAATTAGGATAAGGAATTCACATTATAGACTAAACTGTTTTTCTAACAACTTGGTCAAACATTTGAGCCCAGTGAGTTTGTAAGAGAAGGTTAATAAAGATTGTGTCAAAACATTCTTGTTTTTGATTGCATAATCATAAAATGAGTCTTGAGAAGAAAGGCCTTTGTCACTACTTATGTGTTATTGTTTTTATTTGTCTACATGTGTGCAGAGCAAACACAGACGTCCACGCAGATGGAGGAGATGGAATAGTTTTTTTTTTTTAAATAGTTCAATATTGTTTGTTACTTGTTCATTTTTTAATAAAAGTTGTTATGTTCATTTATTTCATGTGGTTGTTGGTTTACTGTTCGCGGTTCATTTTCAGGGTATGTGTGTAGTTATAATTAAGAAAGTTAAGAGAGGGGGGGTGTAGGCAGGGTGCTGTGTATTAGCTGTTGTCAATAATACCTTATTCTTTTAATAATGTTGGCAAACATCAATTAATTGCTATAGAAAGCATGATACTGTTTTTCCAGAAATCCTCTGCCACACATTTGGCATTTCATTTCCCTGTATCTTGAAGAATATCAACAATTAGTGCTGGCTGTTAGTCAGACTGTTGCACAGTAATCATATGCAAACTATCATTAGTAATAATAATTATACATAATTAGTGCATATGGCACCACAGAGAGAACACATTCACATATTTTCAGTGATATTTTTATCATCAGAAAACGTTTAATCACTTAAATATCAACTTAATAGCATTGTTCAGGAAGAACATTATTAATGATACTATACAACTTTAGGTTTTAGAAATATATACGATGAGGTTTTAGAAATATATACAATGATGATCAAAAATATGTAATTTGCATTATCTTCTCATTACTGTGTTTTAGAGAAGTGTGTGCATAGAGAAAGGTTACATCTATAACATGCAATTAAATAAATGCATTTTTATGTAAATTAAAAATAACTAGTTTTGTACACACAATTGTATACCCCAGATCTGGAAATGTGAGCAAAAGGTTTGAATTGTATCAATATGGCCGCCTGTTTAGGCCCAGGTATTAATTAAGTAATGTATTAATTAATGAATTGCTGTAAGGAATAATGCAAAGCACTTTTACCAGGTACAATTACTCAATACACATGTTTTTTCTTAAATAATTGTCCCTGGATGAATGTATCTGCTTAAAAATATACATATAATCTGTCCCACTTGCACATAGGTTAAATTGGGCAGATAAACATGTCACAATAACTAAATTACAATATTTGCATCAGTCATTTCACATCATGGGAAATGTTATATTTACAATTAGTAATTGTCCCTCTCGCCGAAGGTCCTGCACCTCCTCATCATTAATGGTGGGGAACTTAGTGAACAAATCAATTTTTCTGTGGAAAAATACAATACATTAAATACTTCAACTTAATCAATCACACACACCGAGCACTGAACTCATTAAACATGTAGCAGCCCTTGGCAACACAACAAAGCCGAGTCTCAAGTGCGGATGCAATTTCTTTGATTTTCCTTCTTGAATCTTAGAGCATTGAGCATTGTGAACAAATAAATAATGCGTATTTCTTATTACAACAAGTTATTTAGAAGTATACTTGACAATTCAACAAATTCACTTAAACCCTAATACAATAATAATAGAGAGGCAAAGTCCCGCCCATCTACTTCCAACCCATGGGACCTGGCGAAGTCCCTCCCCTTCCGGTGGACCTCCATGGGACCTTATTTCGGAAAAATGATGTATTGAAGTCAATGGAGAGAGAAAGATTATCTTTCGATCCCGTTTGAATTGTGCCACGAATTACACATATGATGAAAAATAGTCCGTTACTGTTTGCACTAACGTACCAACGGCACTGAACATAACAAAAGAACATATTACATATATTACCTATGGCGCGAAAATGTCGTATATATACATATTTATTACATGGCTTAGTTGAATACTCGATTGTGATTGCTGCACATTATCCCTTACTTAATAAATACTTTTTATACGGGAGTATTGTGTATAGAAAGTATTGAGTTATATTTCTCGCACTACCTAACATCCATGAAGGCAACATGACAGAGGGAGGCCTGTCACTCAGGAAGCCAAACTACTCTTTGCTAAGCCCCGCCCCCCAAGCAACATCAGGGCCAAAAGTCTGAAAGCGAAAAAAAAAGATCTGAAAGCGAAAAAAAAGATCTGAAAGCGAAAAACGATGGAAGGTGAAAAGCAATGTGAAACCTGAAAAAACAAGATTTGAAACTGAAAAAATAATTGTTTTGAATCTGAAAACGAAAAACCTGCAACTGAAAAAAATAAGGATTCTAATATCAAAATATGTATAAAAGTGAAATCTGAAAAATAAATATTTTATTCAAAAAAATTGCTGAACTGAATCAAAAATAATATTCAACCTGAAAAATGATTTCAAATACTTACATCATTGTATTTTTCAAAGTTCAGGATAAAAACTTGAACTTTCAAATAAATTGTATTTTTTTTAATGATCAAAACTTATGACTCTGAAATAGCTCCATATATAAACACATGTTGTTTATATATATCTATGATGGGCGTAGCCTGCAAGCCCCCAGGAAGTGCGCCGGAGTCTGATGAGAATATTCGTGCTGGTCAAACGGCGGTACTACACTTCCTTTAGGTTGCTGGGCCCGGAAACATTTTTTCCCATTGACTTACATTGGGAAAGAGTGGTCTGTAACTCGTTGGATAATTTTTTTTAAACTAAATAAACTACCCAGTATGACCGTTTGTAAAGCCCTTATTAAAAACATTCGTTCCTCAAGTTGTAAAAATGTGCTAATAACGTTATTCTGAGAGTTATTTCCCTCTGCATTATGAACGCGCATCTAACCCACGGGACCGCGCCGCCCGGCACGTTCAAGTTACGTGTTCAGTACTACATGATTTTCTCTTTACCCATGGATGCACAATAACAACGGACCATATCGCCTTACTGCCAGCCCACGGAGCTGTAATAATGGATATATTGCACATGTTTGCTGTAATTCATAATTTGTCAAATATTATACTACATGGGCTGTATGATGTAAATCGTGTACCGTAAATGTTGTATTAAATAAAGTTAATATTACCGACGTAGATTAACGTCCCTGTAGCTTCTTATTGCACTTGCAATTGTTTTAGTTACTTGTGGGCTACTTAACATGAATAATCACAGTTACTATCCTTTTACTCCATCACATTTCAAAAAGAAATAGGCTATTGTTATTTTAACTCCACCACAGTAATCCATCATCAGCTTTACTTTTTAGATAAAGTGTTAACTCACAATTGATCATAACAGGCTTCAACATATACATTTTTATATATTACCAAGTGGTTTCATGTACAACCCACACAAGTATCATGCTAAATGAAGCTCTGTTGCTTGGATATCACTAGATCCTGATGTCAGCGTAATATAAAAGTACATAACGATTGATGTGTAATTTAGCATAATTTACTAGCTAGCCGCTAGCTGCTAACTGCCGCCTCGTTAATATAAATCCAGTACCATGCTGTCATGAACGCGCGGTGCTGTTACGTGTACGCAAATTCACGTGCTTAATGTGAACGAGCCTTTTGGGCGGCGTGGTTAAAGTTGCGCATGATCTATGAGTGCACATACGGGTACTTCTCAGGCATGCCGGGTAATCTGTGACGTTTCGCTCTCTCAAAAGTTGGGCCATTTTGTCATCATGCGCCATTGAGCAACTCTCATAGGAATGAATGAGGCCCCGCCTCCCACGCTGTATCCAGTTCTTATTATACATCCATGGTAGCCTGGGGTAGGCATCCGGGGTTTTTTCTTTAGCCCCGGACAAATTCTCCCTCAATAATAATAATAATACATTAACCGTACTTTACCTAGAGGACGGCAGACATTTAATTTCCCGTGTTCAGTGAATGCAACAGAGGCAAGACACCACTAGACCAATCAGAGAGTTGCATGGAAATAAACGTGTTTTATTGGCTGACAGTTACGTACCTCTCCTCTGTGACAGTGTTAAACCATAGACTGTATATATAAAGGTTTAAACCATAGACTGTATGGTTTAAACTTTAAACTCAGACGCGGACGCGGAGTTTCTGAAGATGGACATTAGACATTTTTAAAATAAAAAAGACGGCAATTCTCAAGTGGTGGCTCACAACAACCCCAGAGCCACCACCTGAGCCAGGTGAACAAGGTATGTAAATGTCAGTAAACTTACAAGTTATGCGAACATGTAAGCAAACAAAGCATAAATTACATTGTCGTTACTTTGAATCGCGCGGGTAAGCTAAACCGTTAGCAAGTAGCTATAGCTAGTCAGATATATTAAATAAACACTTTGTCATACAATCTAAATGTTGTGTTTTTTAGCGTTACCCGGTGATTTCAAAGAAAGCTCTCTGGGAAATGTTGACATGAAGCTAGAAGCTACCGTTACAGTACACAGTTGATCCCGAGTCCTGTCAGTTAAAGTGTTTCATAGTTAGCTTAGCTAAGCATCAACCTAGCACTGACATATATGGAAGTTATGTGACAGTATTTCTGAGGAAAAGTCAGCTGAAATGGTGGCATAGTTGCCACTGCGTGTCAACAGCATGTTTGAACATATTTGCAGCAGTAAATGTGGCCATAACAACACCTGAATTTAAATGTACAACCTCTTTTTGTGACAGATTTTTGTATGAAATTATAATTCTTCTGATTGATATTCCTATTGACAGCTAGTTTCTATGTGAACATTATGAGATGGACAGCCAGCTAACAAGCTTTTTATACAAATATTTCAGATCAAAGCTAATCCAGTGGGGCTCCTGAAAGAGGGCAAGGGACTAGGGATGCTCCGATCGATCGGTCACCGATCGATATCGGCCGATACTCACTCTCTACCGATCGATCGGTGCTCTCTAAACATGCCGATCGCGAGAGCCGATCGCATGACGTAAAATACATGACACTTTTCTCTGTGTGCGGCAAAATAAGCTCGCCAAAATGGCTTCACCGGTCTGGCATTATTTTAAGGTGTCCGAAAAAGACAGTAAAATAGCGGTATGCAACGTGTGTGAAGCAGAAATCCTGCAGCTCCGCCCGCCGGACAGGTAAGCGCAGCGAAACACACACACAGGGAGAACCAGACCGCAGTTAATTTCCTCATATTCCAAACGAGAAATTACGGTAGCAAATCACCCGGTTCTTTACGACCAGAACTATTAACGGGATACAAACCGGAGGAACCAGGCATGGAGGGAGGTGGAAGAGACAGTGGGTGAAACTG